AAAGAAACGAGGAAGGAGAAACGGCGGTAAAAGCAAGTGCAAAGGCCACTTACATAGAGAAAAAATGATAAAAGTAATTGGCCGAAAAGTGAGAAAGAATGAAAAGTAATACATGATGAAGAGAGGAAATTGGTGCGGAGAAGTACAAAAAAGCAACAACTTCAAATACTAGAAAGACAGCCAGAAAAAAACTTGATTAGAATAGTGCGGCAGATGGCATGAAGTCATTTTGTCGTACACAGGATATGATAAAATTAGAGGTGCAGATCGAGAGAAAGGGTGAAGCCAGGTCAAGGGCGGCATAAAGAGCGAGACGTCAGGTTGACGCGAACCATCAGGTTGGAGAAAGTCACCGGGCGTGGCAGGGAGTCAGCAGGGTGGGGGGACTGAGCGGCACGGCGCCCGCAGCGCGTTTCCCGTGGCGGCGGCACCCGAGGAAAAGTAGGGGTGTCATCCATCTCGGACGGTGACAGAACAAACAGCGCATCCGCTCTGCCCCGCCCCCTTCCCGCCCCCGCCACCAATTAGCCGATTCATTATCCCCGCGCCGTGCCACTCAATAGCATCAGCGCCGCTCTCTCCTTTCCCCTCCCTTGGCGATCTCTCCTTCCTTCCCCTCCCACTCCCCTCCACCCACTCTTTTTATTAGCCTTTAAGATAATGGTCCTGATGAGCCCCCATCACACGCAAACACCCCTCCACCCCAGTCACGGCCCCCTTCCTCCTCCTACGCCCTTCCCCCCCACAAACACAAGCCCACTAATCGAAAACGCTCACTTAAGTCTGTCTGCCAAAGCTACCCCACTCTGTCTCTATAACAAAGCAGTTATTTCTTCCTCTTTTCTTCCGGAGCCCCCGTCCCGCACGCCGCTCAGCGCCGCGCCGCGTCTCGCCGCGAGCCGCTCCGGACATTCTTGCGGTGAATTATGGTTCCGCTCGAATCCGCGAGGCGCGCTGCGTTCGGAAACGAAGCGAGTCCGGTGACGAACGGCCGTCTTAATGGAGGGTGCAGAAGGCGACGCAGCGAGAACGAGTATATGGGGAGGGGGGCTGCCCGCGAGGTCGATACGGAGGGGGAGGAAGAGAAGGGAGGAGAAGGGTAGAAGAGGAATGACTAGGGAGAAGGAGGAGGAGATTGGAGGAGGTGGGAGGGAAAGGAGGTGGAGGTGGAGTAAGGAGAAAGAAACGCGTGCGATAAACCGAAGCCGCGGGGCGAAGAATGCAATTAACACGGGCGTTGCGGAGGCCGTCATTCAGAGCTCGTGCGGCGCGGCCCGCTGCCGGGGGTTCCCCGGCGACACCAGAGCGCCCTCGCGGATCTGCGGCCAATTACTGCACCGTTCGCGCGAACAGTCGGAACGCGTCGCGAGTCTTTGCCGTCCCTCTCCCTCCTCCACTACCACCGCCCCTACCACCACCACCACCACCACCACTACCACCACCACCACCACTACCACTTTTCTGTTCCCACCCACTGTTCCCTTCGGATCCCTTGCTGTTTTCGATGTCATCGTGGAGGAAACATCGCCGTCATGTTCGTCACTGCACAGAGGCTAGGGCAAAGGACCGTATGGGTCTTGGGAAAACGTTAATTGTACTTAGCGCACCAGCCCGTGAACGGGCTCAGGCCTATCGGCGACGTCTCTGCCTCGCGGCCATGGGTTAACGGGGTACATGTGGTTAGCACGAAGACATTCCCGCACCGTATTCCGATCTTCTCAACCTGAGATGTGAATTTTCTCGTCACACAGCAACTTATACTGCGACTTAGCAAGAAAAACGCAAACTAAACGCACCGGGAATCGAATCCGGGGCCATGTAGTGGAAAGCGATCACGCTGACCAAGAGCTAGCCACGAAGCTGAATACGTGAATTACTTGGATATATTGGCAGTAGTTAGGATACGCAGTGCTGCTCATGCAGCTTGAAGACCATGAAGTGATTTGTGGCCGCACACCATAGACGTACAAGTACTGGATGTAACGTGTGAGCTCATGTACACATATGTATTTGGAAGGTGGATCTCAGTCCATGTGGCCTCCGCTTCAGTTGGCCACGTAAGTGAACTTATTTTATCATTGGATCGGACTGAAAAAAGTGTATGGGATTATTTTGATTTCTATGCTTTAATTGCAATATTGACATGTTTCATAATATTTGCACAATTTATATAAAACACATCAGTTCATCACATACACAACCTCCGATCTACAACTTTAGACATTGAAGAAATAACGTTCACTTAGAACGTTAGTCGTCGTTCGGCTGCCCATACGTCTTGCAATATGATCATCTGTTCTATAATAACATTGGTTCCACTCTAGCATGGTACTTTTCAATATTGTATTAAAATAAAAATATATTACATTCGTTGTTTTCTAGATCCTTTGGTATGTTTGCAGTTTCCCAAATTTTAAAGCAAGAATGGGCTATAGAATGAAAGAAAAAAGTACACGAAAGGGAAAAGAAAGCTTATAGTAATAATATACGGTGATGGAAAAAAGTATGAAAAATACACAAAATATTTACAGACTGACACAATAGAGAACGACAACCAAGAAAATCACCAGATTCAAGTTCAAAAAACAAAAAGGCGCATTTTTTCCCAAAAGCTTCAATTTTATTCTACGTTTTAAGCTACCTACTATTCCCTACGATGATGCTTAACACATAAATTAAATTTTCATTGAATGGATCAGGGGTTATTTAGAATGATGAACGTATTAGAAAATAATAATCACGCGTAGCGTTTCAATTAGTTGTTTTAATTATGCATTGCCGACATTTCCTAGTGGTTAAAATGCTCACTTACAAAGATAAAAAAATATACCGATATCATTAAATGCCTTTACCAGATTTGGAAATTCAAATAATAGAAGCAAATAATTTGATCTTCATTATTGTAACATTGGGAGTGAACTTTCACACTCGTGAAGTTTTCAGATAAAACTCCCTTAATACTTGGCGAGCTAAAGTACATCAACATGATTTGGACATATTAAGACAATCGGACATGTTTTATGCTGCTAATGTCTGCTGCTAATGCTGCTAAAAATGTAATTTTATAGTATTAAATGGTAAGAGAATCGTGGTGTGGTCAACATGTAGAGCCCAAAACAGTGTGGCTTATGAGCATACTGACAGACTCATTCATATTATTTCAATTACGAGTGCATACAGCTTATCACAGCTTCTCTAATCTGCAACGTTTGTCGCAGATTTTCTTGAATGAATGGTGAATGAGTCACACGAGGATGGGATTTTGGTGCATTGTTCGTCCCTAAAAGTGAAAATAAACGTAGGATTGAGAAGGAAGAGTCGCGCGCGGTCCCTGGCATTGATTGATACTCAGTTGATTGGTTTCCGGGCACGCCAATACTACGGTGACTAATCACTTTAGTGTCGCGCATGTTTTTTTTTAAATGCGGGAAGGTAACCGTGTTACTCTCTCTCACTGCCTGGTGAGACCGGGCGCCGACAGACACATCGGGTTGAGGGGACTTCCCCATCGTGTATTTCGCCCGAGTGGGGCATCGCCCCAGCAGGGAGAAGCTCTAAGCTCCCGACTGGTTTTTCGACGTGTGTTATAATATACAGTATGTAATTGTGAATGGGGAAAGAATGTAAGGAAGAGGAAAGAAAGATCGCGTGCAGTCCGTGGTCTGCTTGTTAGGGTACAGCCCTACTGCTCGGGCATTCGCTTGATGTTGATCGAAAAAAACACACGACGTATGCCGATTTGGGCAGGCTGCTTCTAGAATTCTCCTCCAAACAGTGGCTGAATTCGATCGAGCAATATAGCAGGTGACGATAATCCACCAGTATCGAGGCTTGAAATTTAGCACCTTCCTTTCAGAGACTCTGTGAAGTTAACGGCAGTTCTGGCTCTAATCTAAGCTTGGCCAGTGGTCTATGTCATGCTAAGAAGTGTTCTTCTTCAGAAGGGATGGAAGAATACCACACAAAAGACTGACCAGAGCAGCCAGCATCTAGAAATCTTATTCAGAAATTGGTAGGTGTTGAACTAGCTATTTACCTTATATCTAACATCATTCCACCAACGAGGCTCCAACTTAGAACCCCCAGTCAACGAAGCTTCATTTACAAACTCGCGCCTGCATACGCCATTGGAGTTTGTAGTTAATTATTTTATTTCTGTAATATTTTGTTTTTAAAATGATAACTCTCATTTATGGACAACCACAAAACCACAATTGGTCTAAACTGAATGAAATTAGGTAGAATTTTTTTCTGGGAAACGGATTAGTATGATCGTGAAACCGTTAGTGTATAGTATATTGGCGTAACTTTAAGAATTATTCTAGGAACTGCAGTTTTTTGTATTTTCAAATCTTATGGTTTCACAAAACATTGTCTTTTTCCTCTGTAGAAGGGTATGCATTAAACAAAAATATTGAACTGTGGGAGACGATTTATAATACAATGCAAATATTATATATAAACTCAATCAGGCAAACAAGCAAACGCACATATTTGTCCGTTGCAATGCATATATTTGATGTTATTTCTCTCTCGTGTCAACGGGCTGTGCAAGAGAGAAAGTATATGAGCGAAACACGATTTTACGCAATGAAATGTTAACGTATGCTTCACAGTGACACTACAACATCGTCACGAACGTACTTTACATTTTATCCCACACCATAACTTTAAAATTTCTTACAAGGGTCTTTTACGATCGCGACATTCAGATTGTTTCACGAAATGTGCTTTGAGAGATTTGTCAGAGAGAATCAATTTTCGTTCGTTTCATCGGTCTACGGTTCTCGCGAACAAGGACAGTTTCCATTCCGGCTGCCTGGAGGTCACTGTCCTGCAACCCTTTCTCCAATCTCATTACAATGCGATGGATGTCCGACGACAATTACTCAACAATTCACTTTTAAGCGCCGCGGGAGCGACGCGTGTTTGTGCAGTAAAAGATTTAATTAAAAGGGGCTCTCGTTTTATTCCTCTTTATACGAAAAATGGTCTTAGAGGAAGGGGGCGTGGTTAGTAGATACGAGCGGAGCTCTGAGGAAGATGTTGGAAACGAAGTGAAAGGCGATAGAAAATCGAAAAAGGGAGAAGAAGAGAAAAATGGCAATAGAGAAGCAATGACGAAGGAGTTTGAGTCAAGGGAACAACTGGAAGGGATGGTATGAAGGTGATTGGGTAGAGATGATCGGTATTCGGTCATGGATGGTGAAAGCAAGATTGAATGATATGAAGGTGATTTATAGAGAGAAACTGGTTTGGGAAAATGCAGAAGCAAAAAGGATAAGAGTTGTAAAAACTGGCGCCACTGCATATTATACTATATAATATTATATATATACTATATAATAATAATATATATAATATTGGGTGTGTGTGTATAATGCACCTTGAACGTTGTTGAGTAGTAGAACTTGTAAAATTGTGCTATTAAGGATACAAACAATATTAGGAGAGACGTGGTAGGAAGGAAAGGATATAGAACAGGAAATATGTTTTCACAGAATTTGAGAGGAAACAGAGAAAATTGAAAGCACGGCAATGCATGTGCGACAAGGAAAAGGGTTTAGGATTCATGCCGACTGTCGAGATGAACGTGTCGATGGAGGTGGCAATATTCAAGTGGGTGATACGCATTCTAGATGGAAGTTTGTTGCCAGAACATAGGTAGGGGAAGGTAGTAGAATGAGTGACAGTTTTTACGAGTTGCGGAGTAGGGGGAGACAAATACAGATTTTGAAGGGTAGTGGACGAATACATTAACATTCGCGGGCGAGAGTGTATGTGCTCCAAGTAGTTTTGCCACGCAAAGATATGAGTTAATTTATACGCTGTGTTCTCGTGATACCTGCTTTGCATTGCATTGGGAAATATGACGCAATTTATTCGTTTTGCTTTTATGCAAATGATAGTAAATGAGATTTAGGGTACAAGTCGTCAAATGTTTGCAGCATATGGCGAGAGAATATTAATTTTGAATGGTAATCTCCTTAAAGACTGAGACAGTGCAATTATTACTGTATCTGAAATTCAAAGAAAATGTGTGAATATCGTAAATATTCCAGGATTATTAGTGTACTATAAAATGTACGATGCAGGATCTTTTATTACGAAATCCATTCCAAATTTACATTAACGAACGCGGACAGATTTTTGTGAACAATATTATGCGTCCATCCTTCGTTTCATTTGTTTATTTAACAAGGAAACATATTTGCAAAATCTTGTCTTTACACTTATCTTTTCTAGCAAAGAAAAAATATAGAGGCTTCCAACATAACCGGGGTCGGATTCCCCGGATATCCCATTAACTGAAATTATGCCGAATGTATTACCGTTTCTTATCTCAAACAAGCTAACAAGCTCTCAATCTAATACGAAGTAGTAAATAAATGGAATTCAAAGTCAAAATAAATTTAAACAAAAATAAAATTACGTATTAGCTACACTTCAACTAAGCTACACTTTAACAACGTATTAAATACACTTTCCTTTTTTGCACAACTCATTAAAAATAAAATATTCAAATAATGTTGTGCACCACCAGCATTTCGTCCAGACTTCCTGCATTTGAGATTTCAACTTCGATGATATTCGATATTATGAGCTGAAGCGAGGCGTGTAGTTCAAAAAAGATATCCACAAGTAGCACTCAACTCTTTTATTTATATATAGATTAACGTGAGGACATTGTGAGAATAGAGCTAACATTCCTTTTTGTATTCTTTTTTAAAATATTTATTTTCTACCCATTTAACTGCATTAGTTTTTTCAGGGAGTTAAAAGTCAATGTAAAACATAATGTAGAAGCAAGATGCCAGCATTTAATTATCAAGTAAATTATTATCAATAATTTAACGAAGTGCTGTCACAAACTTTTATTAAGTTTAAAATTACTTATAAATTGGGTAAAATAAAAAAAATAAATAGTTTTTAAATTATAGAGAACGAAAAGTATTCTTTGAAAAACGTGATCTAATTCGAGGATGAAGAATATAATTTTGACCTAATGTGAAGTTTTGAAATGTAGGTGAAGTTGATAATTTGTTGACGAAATTTTTTATCAAGCTAAGTATATATGTTTTGAATGAATAAATTTTAAGTTCTGTGAATTTCTTTATCGGGCATAAAAAGGGAGCATGTACACTTTTGTGAAGGAGTTTATTTTGAATTAGTTGAAAATTGTGAAGATTGGCAGCGGAGGCATTACTCCAAATAGGGCAGCCATATGAAAGAGAAAGCCTAATGATTGTTTTATATGGCACAATTTCACCAATAATTCGTAATTTAGAGTTTTTATTAATTAAAGGATAACATTTTGAGATCTTATCACATGTTTCGTCAATTGCAATTTGGATGGCAGACTTTTATGTAAACTTTTGGTCATCTTAATCTTATCTTATCTTATAATAATCTTATAAGTATTTAAAAGGAATATTATTTACAGACCAAAGAATGAATGGTATTATTATAAATGATATGACGAGGTTTTGATGGGCGACATAGAGTAAAGATTTTGACTCGTGTTGTATGTGAATTAGTATGGATACTCCAATGATGAATCCAGTGCAAGTATTTTTAAATTGCATTCTGAATAATGTTACGTGTAATTTTGATATTTGGGTGGAGAAGAAGCAGTATCATCTGCACAAAGAGTCAAAGTAACAAAAGGTAAAGGGGAATATCTGACATAAAAGGGTTAAATAAGATAGGAGAAAGAGTTGAATCTTAAGAAATTCCGGAGAAATACGATACGGAGAGTACGAAAATTAGAGAGAGAAGAATTCATTTTTACAGCAAAATGGCGATAAAAAGAAAGGTTTAAAAAAATTGAAATAAGTAATGTGGAGTACCAATATCGCATCTTTTATAAAATACCAGTATACCATTTTTAATCCATCATTTATCATGCCATCATTTACCAAAAGCTTGGGTTACGCCAATTTAATCACGTGGACTATTACGGCCTTTATATCCGTACAATTAGCACTAATTGTTTCTGTATATTTACAACTTCCTTTATTTATTTACACTTTTGTGTTGCTTCAATCTTAAAACGCTTCTGTCAATAACCTATGTAAATTTTCCTTTTCACCAAAGTTTTGCGTTCGGACATGGATGGGGCCCCGGTGAGTTCGGTTGATCTGTGAGTACAGTTCTTCGAAATAGCATTCCGAAGAAAGCGATTCTCCAGTACATCGAAATACCCTCTCTGCCCACACGTGCTCTTGTCACACTCCTCACCCACCTCTCCCCACCTTCATCTTCCCCATCCGCCCCACCCCTTCATGTCTTCCGGTGCTCTTCGCCGGCCTCCTTTGTGCCTTATCTGGAACGTTGTCCTTTTCACGCCCGTCTTCACTTTGTTCAGATTTCTATTATCCTCCGTTCGTCAGCCACCCTCACCTCTCCGTCCCCCTCACAGCCACCCACTCGGATCCTCCTTCGGATGCACGCCGCCTCCCACGCCGCGCCGGCTCGCTTATCTCCTGCCCCCGTTCGTTCATTTCCTAGCGCACTATTTAGCATGCTATCGCCTTCTTGTAGCGCGCTCCTCGCCGCGTCCCCTCTTTCGCGCCTTTGATACAGCAAAGGTGTCTGCGGAAGATCAAGCTTCTTTTGGGCGCGAGCCGCCGTGCCTCGGGAGTGCGAGGGGGCGGGGAGCGCTGCAGATCGATGGGGCGGGGCTGAGGTGCTCTGGGGTGCGCCGCGCGCCGTGCTGTTTGCCAAGGACGTCCCTTCCCCGCCCCTATCCACCCCACACCCGGGGGGGGGTGGGGGGCAATACCGACCCGTCTCTAATCTCAACGCCTCGGCTTTCCGCTTCTGAGCGTGGGGGCGGGCGGTGGCGACGGCACGGCAGCCCGGGTGTTGGTGGCTCGGGCGGTCGCCGGCGTCTCCCAGATGGCCACTTATCTCGCGCCATTGTACGGACCGCTCGCGAGTGGGTTGTTCAGAAAGTCGACAGGCGTATATATCTAGGGGTCGAGGCGAGTGGCGGCGTGGAAGTGGCGTTGCGCCCGGATATTGCGGCCGGAGAGACGGTCGCGGCTAGTGTTGCTTATTGCGAGGGATGGCCCAGAGAGGAGTAATCTGGCCCCTTCTGAGCCTCTCTCCGCCACACTCGCGTCCACACCCGCGCCACACCCGCGCCACTCACGCGCCGCACTGGACCCATGACGCCCGCGACGCCAGTGATCCGTGCACAACTAGACAGCATTGAAGAAAAAGACCAGATGTCTAGAGTAGCAGCAACAGAGCGCTCTAGAAACCCGCGAAATCTAATTTGTTCTAATTACATTAAGATAGCTCATACATTTCCTACTCGTTGAGGAATCTGAACAAGATGATTTGCTTTGATGTTTCTAGAACCGTTTGCGTAATACCTTAATTTTTCTTGAGAGTAGTTACCTTCATGACTTTTCAATTTGCAATTATTTCTTATAGCGTATAACTTTCGGAAAAAATCAATACGATAGTTATACCTCCGTGAACCCTTTCTCCTCCACGCACGTTTTCTTTGGTATTTACTAAATTCAATTTAACTTAACTACAACTATCATCAGAGATATGAAGGGATAATCATTTACAAAAATTAATTAATTACATTTCAGATGAGATATGCACTGTTGTCGTAATCAATGAACACAAATTCTCGAAAATTGAGTTAACAGTGAAAATAGACGTGTTATTCTACACTCTAATAGAGTATACTATTTACACTCTATTCTTCCAAGAATCTTAAAGACAAAAATTGAAGCCACTCTTGAGAAAAGTTTGAAAAAGTTCCGGAGGTGTCATGCTACGTATTCCCATATATTAAAAAAAAACCAACATAATCGCAGAGCTATGAGTCGGTCAGTTCGACCGCCGAAAATTATTTATTTTGGAAAAAATCAAGAAAAATCAACTTTATGCGCAATATTATTCAAAGACGGACAGAAAGAAACAGAGACAGAAAAAAGACGACGAAGAAAAAGACGGACGGAAGAAAAGAGCGAACGGAGAAGAGAAAGACGGACGGAAGAAAAGACGGACGGAAGAAAAGACGGACGGAAAAAGACGGAAGAAGAAAAGACGGACGGAAGAAAAGACGGACGCGAAGAAAAGACGGACGGAAGAAAGACGGACCGAAGAAAGACGACGAAGAACGACGACGGAA